CGGCCATGGGTTCGAATCCCGGCCCTTTGCTGCAGTTCCTTCCCTCATTCTTCTCCCCTGCTTTCCTGTTTATCTCTCAACTGTCCTATATAATAAAGGCAAAAAGGCCCAAAAAAATAACTTGAAAAAAACCAACTACTTACTTCCTTACTTATCCCGTTAACGTCCGTTAGGACACTAGCAGTGTGTCAGACGATGCGCGGTTGCTTCGCCGTTCCATTCGCCATTTACCCCTATCGAGGGCATCATCAGGGGTTAGCCCCCAATCCGCTCGGTCCCCTGACAGCAGCTCCTCCCATGTTTTCCTGGGTCTCCCTCTCTTTCCTTTTCCGGCGTTCAAGTTCCTGATTTTGTTGATGAACTGAGTACAACGGTGGACATGTCCGGCGGTACTGGATCGCTGTGTGAAGATCAATGAGGCCTAATTTCATACGAAGCCCATGAGCAGATGTGTGCATCAGGCTTGATGTGGTCCATCCATCTCAGCATGGATCTCTCATTCCGCTCCAGGCGACTTAGATCTTCCTTCCTGAGAGGCCGGCACTCGCAGGCATACAGCATGGTGCTTCGGATGTAAGTGCTGCATACGCGGCCACGGACAGCGGGTGGACCTTGATGAGGTCTAGCTTCATGCAAATCAGCAATGTTTGATACTTCTTGTGAACAGCAAATGCTTGAGTGTTTTTTACAAGTTAAAGTAGCTCTAACCCTCCCCTGCTTGTTTCATTGATTGGACTCCAGGTATACTAACTCCTGATTCCTGTTAGCTTCTGTTGATGTTATGAGATTAGAGGGTTCACATCCTTGTTCCAAACTACACTATGACTCTTTAAATGCAGTATTAAATACAATCACTATTCATCAATCATATTGTTCACTTATTGTAATTTTGATGCAAATCTGAACCGATTTTCAGATTCATTTATACATAAGATGATGAGTATTCACTTTTTTCTCGCCACTCTATATCCCTCCCCATTGAACTGGATAAATTGCTCAAGTGAGAAGACACTTCAGAGAATTCAGCAGCTGTTTGGGAATTAATAATGCATCAGCACGACAGTCACTCAGGAGATTAGACAGGGATGGATGGAGATCAAATAACACCGCTAAATGATTGTCTTTCTCTGCCAAAACGTCAAGAGTGAAACCGAAAAGGAAACGACTGGATTGATGTTGCTGGAGCCGCCACGGTCACAGTCTGGTCAGATATGTTTCACATTTTTCAGCTGTCAAATGCAAACTGAAATCGCTAAAGAGCAGACGCTGACTGTGTTTGGTGTTCATAAGTGGAGCTCAGAAATTAAAAATAATATCACAATGTTGAAGACGATGCATGGAAAGGCGTTAGCGTAGTGGATCGGAGCCACACGGTTTGGATTAGTCAGTTACTGAGACTCTGCATGAAAAACTAAAGTTGTTAATAAATAATTGAATAAAAGCTTTGAAAGATGCTTTTACCCAAAAAAGAAAAATCACAGATTCAAATGCATAACCTGAATTGGAAAACATTACTGTCTTAGTGTTCACTTTGTTCCCTTTAAGTGTTAAGTTTGACTTTAGACGACTATGAGTACTTTATTGAAGTCAAGAAAGAACATTGTTGTCATCGTGAAAACAATCAGGGTTTGTGCAGATCTTAAAAAACATCTTACATGGGACAAAAAAGCCACAGACACAGTGACTGCCATCTTTGTTTAGTGTTCGTGCTTTTATACGTCTTTGTAAAGAAGAGGAGCCCAACCTATTTGCAGATAAGACGATGGACATCAACCATGGAGGTCTTGTCACCTTCAAGGCAGAAGGTTTTTCAAGGTTTAGTGATTCCGGTCGGCTAACACTAGTTAGTACCACTTCCTGGTGGTTTCACGATTTCACGAGGAGAAAACAAGATGCCCTCAAAGGTTATTATACAGTGTTGAAATGGAAAACAGATGAAGTTATGCACCTCTATTGTTTAGTGGAACTTGAGGAAAAACTCCTTTTTGTCTGTTATTGTGTTTAGTTCTTCATACTAGTTAATTATAACGTTAGCTGTTTATCTATGATGAGAGTATTACAACAGATACAGTCAGCTCATCATAACATGTGAATATGATGGTGCTGTATTATTGGTTTTAGCATTAAACCAAAATGACTCCCTTTTGTTAGCAAACCAAAATGCTTTATTAAGTTTCATAAGTTTTTTGAGGGTGAGGATGTATTAATAAAATTGCTTATACTGAAAAAATATATATACATGAGTACTAAATCATAACTTCCACACAATTCTGGCCTGTTCAGTAGCAGTGAGAGCTTGTGAAGGCCAGTGAGATCATATTCAACTTCAGTGTGGTAAGCAAGATCACAGGTAGCTATCTATAGACATCAAAGGACTATATTATACTCAGATCCAACCTTTCGATA